AGTTAGGGAAAGCTAGTACAGATACCTCTCGAGTAGCTTTCCGCGAAATTCGACAAACAAACAGAATTGTAATGGTTAAATAGTAATATATATTAACAAAGAGAAACAATACGTTTTAATGATCTAGGAAGAAATGCATAAGTTACATATATGAGATGTTTGTTAGAATAAGAACTACGCAGATATGACTTGTTTAACAACAAGGAAATATAATCTTACCAAAGTGAAGAACGTTAGTTCATAAAAAGGTAAGGTTTTTTACTTTATAAAACCTAATAAAGCTAAGCACGCTACAAAGTTAAAACTCAGAAATGTAAAAATTTAAAATGATTGTCAATAAAGCCTTTCAAAAACTTTTTTGTAATTAGAGAGGTGATTTAATTTTTAGAGACTCTACAGCAAGGAACATTTCATGCGTGTCTAGTCTTTTATAAAAAGTACAATTGCAAGTGTGATATGCGGATGTATCATTTTTTCCCACCATCTTTAGCAGCATGAGAATTTTAAAAATTACTCGTTTAATCCATTTCATTGCACCTTTGGTATTAAAACGTGGTCCAGAAAAACATTAAAATTGCTTCATTCTAATTGCCTTTGTGTCGCATCACCACATCATTTTCCAAAAGCATTCGTGAGCTGAAAATACAGACGATATACACTCGACCAGTGAAAATACATTATGTTAGTTGACCTTTCTACACTTATGTGTGCTATTGCTGCCACACCCTCACGGACAGGGCATATACTAGCTGCTGTCGAGAACAACAAAGGCAACTAGAATGATTATGTTAGTTGACCTTTCTACACTTATGTGTGCTATTGCTGCCACACCCTCACGGACAGGGCATATACTAGCTGCTGTCGAGAACAACAAATAATAAGAGTAATTCTATTTGAAAGTTTAGTATTGTTCTGTTTTAGGATGTTTTTCTGCTGAGTGTTGTTAGCCTTTTCAATTTGTCTGTCGATTTCGGTATCTTTATATCCTCTTTGTAACATGGTTTGTTTTAGATCCTTGGTGTGTGTTTCTGTAGTCTGTTTCATCTGAGCATATTTTCTTTATTCGAAGAGCTTGACTGTGGTAATGTTTCGTTTAGTGTGAGAGGGGTGACAGCTTTTATAGTGAAGGTATTGTGGTCTGTCTGTCGGTTTTTTGTTCAAGTGGGTGTTTAAAATTCTGTCCTTTAAAAAGACAGTGACATCAAGAAAGTTAATTTGATTGTTTTGTGAAAGAAGTTTGCATGTGAGATGAATTTATTAAGCGTTGTTTTCAGGACAATAATTGTAAAAAGTATGCTTAAATATAGAAACTATAACTACAATCAGCATGTTAAATCAAAATCGGTTGTGCATTTTCCTGTCTTTTATTGTAAGAAACAACAAATAGAAACATTTTGTCAAGAACATAATTATATATATAACAGAAAGACAAACTGGTGAAACAGTAAGATTGTCCGAAGTTTGCATGTTAAATAAGCATCCTATTACGTATAAATGGTCAAGAAATGTAAAACTATAATTAAATATAGAACTAAAGAATTAATGGAGTGTTATATATATAAAAGGACTGTACTGCTTTTACATCATAATTAAGTCTAGCCATTGATTACACATTGATACATATATATGATGAGATCATCACGATTGTGTTTCCACAATGTGGACTTCATCATCTCTGACATTCTGTTGTCATGGCAGCCTAACAACATACCACAAATAACTGTTGAACGTGGACATAAAACAAAAACGTAATGTAAAGGCCATATTCGTCTGCAGGTGGACAATATTGTATATATTATGCTTATTATCATTGTCGACATGTGTCAAAATGAAAACTCCTATCTAAATTTGGACCCCACAAAGATATTAATGATATTGTTGCGTCAGCGAGGTCACGTGATTAGTATCACGCCACGTCCTTCTCGAATCTTCGTGAATTGTCGGGAGATTACTAGATATAGTGTAGTCTTGTATATATAAGACCGGCCACGAAGCGACGTGGAGGTAATGAGTAATTGAATGTATGGGATAAAATATTGTTGGCCACGTGAGACGTGAGTTATAGCGTTGTTATAGAGCGACTGTTGAAATTAAGTGTATCGTAAAGTTGTATTCGGAAAGAATAAACCAGTTTTATTTAAGAAAGGACTTGTGTCGCTAAAGTTTCGTCGGAACGAATTTACGGAAAATTAATTAACAAACGGAGACGTAACAATATGTTTGTTCACAATTTTCTTGCAAAACGTTTTTCATGTACATTCTTCCGTAAAAGACATATCTATTAAACTCTATGTAAGTAAATTATTCCCGTCTCTTTCTAGAATCGAATAACATAGTTAGGATTGAAAGTACAATGTTAATACTAAGATATGACTGAGCAGATTTCAATCAAGGTGTTAATTGATAAATGACTGGAAGTGTTGAGTAATTTAATGGACGTTATAAAAAGTTTCATTGAAGAACAATTACCAGCACAAATTAATGAGTTTGATAGTTTTGATGTTGATATTTTCCAAGATACTTTCGGTAATTTTGATATAGCCGAGTATCTTGATATAACCTATTAAAGTGTTGTTATATTTGAGTCTCAGTCTCAGAGTCAATTCTTTATTCAAACTGTAAACATCCTGGAGTTAGTGACTTGTGTACTCCATTCACGACTATATTTCTGGATTTAATATAAATCTATTGTGACTGGTGGTAAAGTCGAGCTCCTGCGATTAACCAACATGGCTACCTGTTACAATAGTGCCACATAGGTTTGCTCAGTGACCCCTCCATACACTTGTCAATAAGTACTTCATCAAACTATTCAGGAGACGTGATTGGGAATGCCTTCTCATGAAATATCCTTAAATTGTTCATGTAAGCACTCAAGCTTTCATAAGGCTGTTGTCTTTGAGCATTGAACCTGGTCTTATTCGTTGATTGGTTCTCCACAGAGTTGAATCTGTGTCACAACTTGTTGACAAGTCATACATTGTCCAAATGCACTGCATGTACCCGAGTAGATTCATTCCAAACAAGTGCTTAAATTATAATGGTTTTGAGGAATTCCACATCTCATCAGTAATCCTAGACAAAGGCAATTAGAAGAAAGAAGACCAGGCTTCTTGTAATGGTAAACTGTATGTTGTGTGAATGATGTTTTAAGGTGTTTTTTCTCACCACAGTAAACCTATATGTATACAGGATTTGAAGAATATATATATCAAATTCTATATAATTTTAGGTTCACTTTGGTGCAAAAAAAAAACGAAATTAAAAGCTCCAAACATACAAAGTATGATGATGTTGAATCATTACAACAGTGTATTTGTGTGGTATTCTCAGATAAACATATTTATGCACAAGTATCAGATAAATCCATATAATAATGGGAGAATCGGACATATGATGTATGAAATAAACTTCATTTCAAAACTGAGTTTTAATAATCTATCTGAGAAATAAAGAGAATGCGATATTAAGTAGTACTATTTTTTTATTAAGAACAAAGGGAAACCAACAATGTGTCTATTTTCGTAGACACGCGAAAATTATCTTACTTTTATTAGTGAATGGATTAACAACTTTTTTTCCTCAAGATATATTTTGTTGAACCTTTCACTTCAACAAGCAATTAGAAATCTGAAAGTAAATACGTTATAGTATTTCAAGAAACCTTGTACCCTTTCTTTGCAATAGCTTCCCCATGTGAACATGTTTATTCTCTCACAACATTCATTGACTGTAATATCTAGACATCATCTGCTCAGCATATGAAAGAACGTGCAGTCAGTGAGTCTTTTCTGTTCCAAGCTAATGAAACTCTCCACAGATAGATTATTTAATACTTGTTATAACGAACAACAAAGACACCAAAGCAACTAAAACAAACCAGATTCAATGGTTTTATGGGCCATGTGGTAAAATCAAAACCGTATATAAACAGACTAAACGAAACATTTTAAGAATTCCTATATTACTGAAGGCGGTGAGAAAACATGATATGCACTACTTAGGCTGGAAATGTACCAAGAATTAACCAGCCATCCACACATCCTGGCACTATGATGCAACCAAACCGGGTTTCATTAAATAGGCAAGGCTATCTAGGTCTACTCGTGGAATAAATATAGCAGCAAATGCCAGTGATGCCACTTACGTTTGGACTGGTGGGGAACTGGTGACTGCACTGCCCATACTTTGCAGAATAGCAAAGATAGCAGGGCTATTGGTTCCCACTGGCAGCTCAACAGATGTCAGCTAACATAATATGTCCATACTATGCTGAGCAGCAAAGTAGGCAAGGTTTTTGCCACTGATAAATAGATCAGAATGTCTAGACTAACTAACAACAAGTGGTGAACACTGGCAAATCTATCAGAAATCTAAAAGATCCTAAGATGGATTTGGCCACCAGCTTAAGTAGGTAGATGACGCTGCAGGCTTCTGCCTCTCCAATGACTGTCCCAAAGTTACCACTTTATATCATGTCATGATATAAACTGCGTCTATTAAGGTGAGGATGTCTTTTACACCCAGATGTTGACTTATGGCTTCACTGGGGAAACCCTCAATACGTATATCCACTAGAATGTCCTCCCAATGTATAGATACTATTGCAAGGTAGGCCTTCCCATACAATCATCGCATATAATCCATATAGGTGGCTAGGCACTCAGTGCCAATCCTCTATTGGGCACTAAAGTTAGTCCAGTGGATCACTTTATTCATCATTGGGTCGAATCAGTGATGCAGCTCATAGATTATTATCTCCAAATCATCTTGGTGCTCCTTGGTCAGTAGTTTGATGGCATCAAGGGCAGGGCCATCTAAGCTCAGGATCAGTAAAAATTAAGTCAAAATAAAGCAAAAACAGTGTGTGCGTGTGTGTATTTATTTATTCAGAAACAAGACAACTGCCTTATTAGTAAATCAGTGAATGAATCAACAGCTTCTTCCCCTCAAAGTAGATTTCTGTACATCTATTCATTTTGACAACCAAAGTAGAGCTCTAAAAGTATATAAGTTCCATTATTGCAAGAAACATCATATTTTGTCTTTGCAATATTACCTATCAGGTTAAATTCAGAAACGTTTCACGAATTCTGAAAAAAAAATTCATCTCCTGCATCTAAACGATCGTCTTAAACAGATATTTCCTGAAGTTCCTGTTGTCTCCTTTCGAAAAAGCAGAACTCTAAAAGATATCCTTGTTCACACAAAAGTGAATTACATTCTACCCAAAAATGGTTGTCATCCATGCAATAAAACTCGTTATCAAACCTGTAAGTTCATAAAAAAACACTGACTCATTTTCTGACAAGCTCAATCAAATGCAATCACCAGTATATAGGACATTCACAAACAACTCTTAGAGAACGTTTCAACAACCATAAATATTTTATTCACACCGAAAAAGATCTCCCTGTTGCTCAACACTTTAACCAACCCGGTCATTCCATTAACAATGTTACTCTCATCGGCATTGAAACAGGATTCAAAACTAAAGCAGATAGAGAAATAAAAGCTTATTGAATTACTAATCTAAACATTGTTCAACCTTTCGGAATTAATCTAGATCCTGGCATCAGTAATCTCCATTCATTGATTTCATCTCTGTCTGAAAAATAATTCTTATTCTTTGCGTATTTTTTTCGTGTAGTGTGAAAGCTGAATTTCCTAAAACTTACTATTTATTTAAGATAATTTTTCTTACCTCTTTTGTTTTAATAAATTGATTAGCATAACATATCTTTTTCAATCAGTCTCCAGGTCTCATCTTTATTTTACTTAAACACTTAAGTATAGTTTTAAATATACATTTAATTTAACCATTTGTAAAGTAAAATATCCTTAACACCTTTTCACATACATGTACACTATCGCCATAGCTACATTGTACCGGAAATGATAAGCTTACAACAGTACATAGAGAAATAGACTAAACATTTCCTGGATAGCCGGATGACCTTCATGACCTCACTAAACTCCCTTTATATATATATATATATATATATATATTGTTACGACAGCGGAAGTCGGGTGACGCTGGGAGCATGCGCGCTGGACTTTTAGAATTATCGGGAACCCCGCGAACGTCCGAGTGTTTGCTAGACGCCCTCTTAGTATATAAGCCTGGCGAGAAAAACCAGCGCAATTGCAGAGATAGATAGATCAGAGATATAGATAATTGAGTCAAGCGAACAGTAGGCACCGTAAGTAAG